TTTTTTTTTTTTTTTTTTGGTAAGTGGGCCTTTTAAGTTTCAAGGTGAAGAGAAGAAATTGGAGAGAGTAGTTTTGGTTTTCTGAAAGATGTTGGTATGGTGTGAAGACAGTAGACTGAGATTCCACTTGTGTTTTTTGAAATGCTGTAAACAATAGCAAATCAGTGCAAGAGAAGAATCTGAAGGTTTTTGTCTAAAATATTCTCAAGGGAAAGAAATCTTGAATTAGGGATGGATATCATTGTTTTACAAACCATTGCCCCTAATAATGAGCCTAGCTGGAGAGGTGGAAGATCCTTAACTTTTCAAAAGAATGAATATATGATAATTGGTCTTGATAGATTGATTTACTACTATGCTGTAAAATTTCCTAGCTCATTATTATAGGTGAATTTTAAGTGTTTAGATTGAGTCATACATAGGTTTAAGAAGACATGGCTATTAGTATGCATGCTATGTTTTTTGTCTTTGAATTGTTTTAGTAACTAATTGAAGTGTGGCTTGAGCAGTAGTTCACTCACTTAATTTCACTAAATTGCAGGTGGGTCTTTTATTTACTAGAAAGAAAACATCGGCATTTCATCAAGCTAGACTTTGGATTTGTAGCTTTTGTCACTGCTCTAAGCATATCCTATCATTACCCTAACCAAGTCATTTTCAATAAAAAATAAATAATTTTGGAAAATGAAATTAAAAATAATTTCAAAAGGAGAGTGTCACTCAACCACTAAAAAGTAAAATATTTTAAAGCACTAATGTCACTGTTAGCGATTTCCACTGATTTATGTCATACATTCATCCTTTCTCTTGGGAAAAATTAGTTTTCAAGTGCCAGGATGAAGCAAGAGTTGAAGATACCCTTTTGGAAGATGGAACTTCCCCTACCCAACACCCCAGCTCCTGAGACTAGGCTTTCGGTTTTCCCTGGAAGGGAGGCTGAGGCCTAGGCCTTCTTCCCTTGTGTGTTTCTTCTCTCTTCAGCATACACACAACGGAAATTATCTATATTCAATTTACCTTTCGATTCTGACAATTTATTCTTATTTCAGATATCCTCTTTTCTTTCCAAATAAATAATGCCAAAATTTAAACAAAATGTTTAAGCACAAATCTGGTTCACATTCAAGAATGACCATTCAATTATTGACACATACATTTGCCTGATTATAAGATTAGGGCAAGTATTTCTGAAAAGGCATTAGAGTTTAGAGTACTTGAATTGAGGAGAGGCATACCATTGAGTGGCAAAAGGAGTAGAAGCAGAGACCAAAAAACAAAGTTGGTAGAAACTTGGTAGATTTTACATTTTTTGCTTTAAGTCAGTGTTGTTTAAACGGGCCAAGAGCCTGTAGATGCTATGCCCTGAGGTGTTTTTTGCTATATTACTGCAAACAAGGTATATTGCTCAGAATGACCTCTGCAGTGTCTTGAGTTTTCATAAAATTTGGTGCTCTCCTCTGTCTCTTACTGTATATGTATATATGTACATACACACATATATTTTATTCTCATTATTCTCAATATTTATGGTTTATAAAGTCATCATAAACAGTGAATTTGCGAATACTGAACCATTGCTACAAGGGGAAATACAGGGTTAAGGTACTGCAAGCCTTTGTTCACAACATTTTGGTCAACGAATCACTATATTACCTTGTTTTGTGTGTGTTTCTGTTTAAAGACACCTTATTCAGTATCTATATTGACTCATTAACATTGAACTCATGGCCAACATCACTGTAACTCATGCCTAAACAAAGTTGTTCTAATACATATATTTTCTCTGTTAAGGGGCATCACAGCCTTCTTGTGCTTAGGAACACTAGACAACACTTTGATACTATGCTTGGGGGGCCATTTAAAAGTAAAATTACCAATAAAAAGAACAAAAACTAAAAAGGAAAAAAACATAACAGTAAATAGACCTTGAAAAGGGTGCTTGTTTATAGTGTGGCGCTGAAACCAGAAGACACAGCATCACCTTCTTGACTTTAGCTGGCCTTCTCAAACTTTTCACCACTATGAGCATGTGTGTAAGTGACTGTGAAAGTGCCATTGTATTGATTTAGGGGTATTGATTTAGGGGATACAAATACATTTTAGCAAGTAGGCTAATTTACAAATATGGACTCTCCAAATAATGAGAATAAACTGTATGTTTGTGTATATGTGTATACATACTGCACATACATATATATTATATATATATATTTAGTGTAATATGCTCAGGTGTACGAATACTTATATTATATGTTATAGCTAAACTGTTGAAGTAGTTTTCTCTCTGAAATATGCTTTGTATCGTAATCACTTTCAAATTAAGTACATACATGTTTGAAAATGCTGACAATGTGCACCTTTTTAGTTCCTGCCCTGAGTTTAGAGGATTGATAGCATAGTTGTGCATTTTCATATTTTTTCTGAAGAACAGTTTAGTTGAAGAGTGCATGGTAACCAAATTCTACGTTGGGCTGTAGAAATGAGGTAGAGACATAAAATTTAGCTTGGAACTGTGTCAACTTGTGAAGCACATATAATTCAATGTAACTTTTCAAATTTTTATTAAAACATAGGACTGGCTTTTTGATCACATGCCTCCATAAGCTTTCAGTACTACTCAGAGAAATATAATATTGATTGATAATGGAAAGAGGTTGGTTTTCAAGTAGGGAACAGTTTTTCCTAAATGTCTTTGGTACAAAGTAGACTTAAATGGGTAGAGACTAGGATACTGTCCATAATTTGTCGAGATAATCTAATCATGAGGTTATGGGGGCTGGATGGGAATGATATTTCGGATGTGATTGAATGAGTAAGACTTTCTCACATGGTCATGGGGGCTGGTGGCAGTGTCAGTAATTGGAGGCCAGGAATTTACTACAGAGTTCTGTAAAAGTGGCTCAATAGCTCTCTCAGAGTTAACTACTTAGAGTAGGATGAGTGAATTTAGGCTGTTAATCAGTTCTTGTTAATTTTAGAGGAAGGTAGTAAAGGATATCTGATTTTGCCATATAAATCAGTAGGAAAATGATGATTTAGGTATACTATCTCATTTACAGAAATCATCTGTGGCCATCTAGTAGCTTGTAAGTTAAAGTTCCCAAGAGAGGACAGAGAAAGCGGAAGAAAGGGAAGACTTAACAAAAATATCGACAATTTACTACTCCATAACTGTTTATTAAATGCTTTTTAGTGACATGCTCTGTACTAGGTGCTATTTATACACTGGAAAACAAAACCTATTTCTTCGGCCTTATGGAACCTACAATCTAGTGTGGAAGATAAATAATAAACCAACAAAAATCAAATTAATGTAGTTAACAATTTGGATAATTACATACGAAAAAAGTACAGGGTTTTATGAGAGAAAAACTGATTTAATTTGTATTAGAGGATAAAGAGAGCCTTATAAAAATATTTTAGCAGAAATCTGAAGTATGAGAAAAGTTAGGTAAAGGCAGAAGTGTGAAGGTGGAGGTGGTGTAGAGTATGTCATGAAGAAAAAAGACTCTATGTGGGGAAGAGTTTCAGGAACTGAAATATTTCCTGAGCTGTGGACTATAGTAAATGAATTACAGGGAAGGAAGACCCAAATTGATGTTGAAGAGAAGGACTCAGGTCTTAGAATGCCATATTGAGAGTTATAGATTTAATTTAAAATGCAATAGGAAGGTACTGTAAGATTTAAATTAGGATAGTGACATGCTCTGATTTGTATTTTCACAAGATCATGGTGATTGCTACGTAGAGACTGGGGGTGTACAAATTAGATGATTAGTTAAGATGGTGATAGCAGGGTTGGAGACGAATGTTATAATGCTTGAACGGGAAGATGTGATTGGATGGGGATGTTTTAGGAAGTGTGAATAATGACTTGCTTATGCTACTCTTGGATGGTGGTACCATTTGCTGAGATGGGGAAGTGTAGAGAAGGAATAGAGTTTTGGGTTTTGGGAGGAATCCAGTAGTTTCAGACATGTTTAGTTGAGCTATTTGGGAGGTATATATCAAGTAGGAAGTTGAGTATATGGTCTGTACTCAGCAAAGGTGTCTGGGTTTACAGACAGGTACTTCTGATTAGTGAGCTTTTGGCTGTTTAAATTAA